GAAAAAATATTAAAAATCATTATTTTTTCGATTATTCGTTGTATAACTCAGAAAGGCTATCGTGTGCACAAAGTTTTCTTGCTCAAATCGGTCGAGGAGGAGATAGAGAAAATATTTCCTGATTCGGATTTCATTGGCCCCCCGTCAAAATGATGAAAAAATATTAAAAATCATTATTTTTTCGATTATTTGTTGTATAACTCAGAAAGACTATCGTGTGCACAAAGTTTTCATGCTCAAATCGGTCCAGAAGGAGATAGGGAATATATTTCTTGATTCGAATTTCATTGGCCCCCCGTCAAAATAATGAAAAAATATTAAAAATCATTATTTTTTCGATTATTCGTTGTATAACTCAGAAAGGCTATCGTGTGCACAAAGTTTTCTTGCTCAAATCGGTCAAGGAGGAGATATAGAATATATTTCTTGATTCGGAATTCATTGGCCCCCCGTCAAAATGATGAAAAAATATTAAAAATCATTATTTTTTCGATTATTTCTTGTATAACTCAGAAAGGCTATCGTGTGCACAAAAATTGTTTCCTCAAATCGGTCGAAGAGGGGATGAAGAATATATTTCTCGATTCGAAACTCATTGGCCCCCCGTCGAAATGATGAAAAAATATCAAAAATCATTATTTTTTCGAATATTTGTTGTATAACTCAGAAAGGCTATCGTGTGCACAAAGTTTTATTGCTCAAATCGGTCAAACAGGAGATGGAGAATATATTTCTTGATTCGAAACTCATTGGCCCCCCCGTCAAAATGATGAGAAAATATTAAAAATAATTATTTTTTCGATTATTTGTTGTATAACTCAGAAAGGCTATCCTGTGCACAAGAATTTTTCCCTCAAATCGGTCGGAGAGGGAATGAAGAATATATTCCTTGATTCGAAACTCATTGGCCCCCCGTCGAAATGATGGAAAAATATTAAAAATCATTATTTTTTTGGATTATTTGTTGTATAACTCAGAAAGGCTATCGTGTGCACAAACATTTTCTTCTCAAATCGGTCGAAGAGGGGATGAAGAATATATTTCTCGATTCGAAACTCATTGGCCCCCCGTCGAAATGATGGAAAAATATAAAAAATCATTATTTTTTCGATTATTTCTTGTATAACTCAGAAAGGCTATCGTGTGCACAAAAATTTTTTCCTCAGATCGGTCGAAGAGGGGATGAAGAATATATTTCTCGATTCGAAACTCATTGGCCCCCCGTCGAAATGATGGAAAAATATTAAAAATCATTATTTTTTCGATTATTTGTTGTATAACTCAGAAAGGCTATCGTGTGCACAAAGTTTCCTTGCTCAAATCGGTCGAGGAGGATATAGGAAATATATTCCTCGATTCGGATTTCTTTGGCCCCCCGTCGAAATGATGGAAAAATATTAAAAATCATTATTTTTTCGATTATTTGTTGTATAACTCAGAAAGGCTATCGTGTGCACGAAGTTTTCTTGCTCAAATCGGTCAAGAGAGAGATAGGGAATATATTTCCTGATTCGGATTTCATTGGCCCCTCGTCAAAATGATGAAAAAATATTAAAAATCATTACTTTTTCGATTATTCGTTGTATAACTCAGAAAGGCTATCGTGTGCACAAAATTTCTTTCCTCAAATCGGTCGGAGAGGGGATGAAGAATATATTCCTTCATTCGAAACTCACTGGCCCCTCGTCGAAATGATGGAAAGATATTAAAAATCATTATTTTTTCGATTATTTGTTGTATCATTTTGACGGGGGGCCAATGAAATCCGAATCAGGAAATATATCCTCTATCTCATCCTTGATCGATTTGAGCAAGAAATTTTTGTGCACACGATAGCCTTTCTTAGTTATACAACAAATAATCGAAAAAATAATGATTTTTAATATTTTTCCATCATTTCGACGGGGGGCCAATGAGTTTCGAATCGAGAAATATATCCTTCATCCCCTCTTCGACCGATTTGAGGAAAAAATTTTTGTGCACACGATAGCCTTTCTGAGTTATACAAGAAATAATCGAAAAAATAATGATGTTTTATATTTTTCCATCATTTCGACGGGGGGCCAATGAGTTTCGAATCGAGAAATATATACTTCATCCTCTCTTCGACCGATTCGAGGAAAAAATGTCTGTGCACACGATAGCCTTTCTGAGTTATACAACAAATAATCGAAAAAATAATGATTTTTAATATTTTTCTCTTCGATCGATTTGAGGAAAAAGTTTTTGTGCACACGATAGCCTTTCTGAGTTATACAAGAAATAATCGAAAAAATAATGATTTTTAATATTTTTCCATCATTTCGACGGGGGTCCAATGAGTTTCGAATCGAGAAATATATTCTTCATCCCCTCTTCGACCGATTTGAGGAAAAATGTTTGTGCACACGATAGCCTTTCTGAGTTATACAACAAATAATCGAAAAAATAATGATTTTTAATATTTTTCCATCATTTCGACGGGGGGCCAATGAGTTTCGAATCGAGAAATATATTCTTCATCTCCTCTTCGACCGATTTGAGGAAAACATTTTTGTGCACACGATAGCCTTTCTGAGTTATACAACAAATAATCGAAAAAATAATGATTTTTAATATTTTTCCATCATTTCGACGGGGAGCCAATGAGTTTCGAATCGAGAAATATATTCTTCATCCCCTCTTCGACCGATTTGAGGAAAAAAATTTTGTGCACACGATAGCCTTTCTGAGTTATACAAGAAATAATCGAAAAAATAATGATTTTTAATATTTTTTCATCATTTTGACGGGGGGCCAATGAAATCCGAATCAAGAAATATATCCTCTATCTCCTCCTTGATCGATTTGAGCAAGAAAACTTCGTGCACACGATAGCCTTTCTGAGCTATACAACGAATAATCGAAAAAATAATGATTTTTAATATTTTTTCATCATTTTGACGGGGGGCCAATGAAATTCGAATCGAGAAATATATTCCCTATCTCCTTCTGGACCGATTTGAGCGAGAAAACTTTGTGCACACGATAGTCTTTCTGAGTTATACAACAAATAATCGAAAAAAATAATGATTTTTAATATTTTTTCATCATTTTGACGGGGGGCCAATGGGTTTCGAATCAAGAAATATATTCTCTATCCCCTTTTCGACCGATTTGAGAAAGAAAACTTTGTGCACACGATAGCCTTTCTGAGTTATACAACAAATAATCGAAAAAATAATTATTTTTAATATTTTTCCATCATTTCGACGGGGGACCAATGAGTTTCGAATCAGGAAATATAGTTCTCATCCTTTCCCTGATCACTTTGAGAAGGAAAACTCCGTGCACACTATAGAGCCTTTCTGAGTTATACAACAAATATTCGCAAAAATAATGATTTTTAATATTTTCTTATCATAATGAGTTCAGAGTCAGGCAGTATATCTCATTTTTTATATCCGATCGATATGTATTTCAATTCGATATAATATGGTTGAAAATATTACAAGAGTTCTCGTGTATACGATCGCCTATTGGATTAAAATGGCTGCTATCATTCCTTCGTGCATCTTCTTTCTTTGGGCGCACGGTACATAATCGAGCATCTCTGGCGAAGTGGCTGCCAACTGCGGCTGCTGTTTTCACACAAATACTTTCACGTTCCTTATCGAAAATATAAAATCTCAAAAGATATGCCATCTGTGATGGGACTCGTAGTTTTTAATAAATTACCGGAAAGTATAACACTGAAAACGATTGCTGAAAATATATTTATTGGATATTGATGAATTCTTCGACTCATAGATAGTTTTTTTTTCTCTCCATTATTCTCTCTGTATATTTTGATCTGTTTTATTTTTTTTTTGTTAGATGTGTTTAGGTAGGTGCGTGTATGTGAAATTGAGACGAATTCTATACATATATGTATTATGTATGTCCAAAGAAAAATAAATGAATTGAATAGCCATCTGAAAGAGAGTCCGAGATGGTGGTTTTCTGTAAATATTTCCAAAGCCCACTGTGTTGAGATAACGAAATTTGTATATTACATGTATATTTCTTTCCATGCCCGATTTGGAAATGTTAAGAGTTCTCCGGAATTTTGATCATTGGTGTGGAAAATAGGTTTGACCAGGAATTAAGGAAATATCATTTTTACTTGAAAATGATACTCTCATTCAGTTTCAATAGCACTCACCATAGTGCTTTTTCCTCATAATAGGGTACCAAATTTTCCCAAGAATTATTTTTCCATGGAAAAATACCCTTTTTTCATTATTCATAAAGAATAATTTCAAAAATATTATAGTAGGTACCCTATTAAGAAAAAGTACTTTTTTTATTACGCAGCAGACTTTCAAAATCGATTTAGCTCGTGCTAAACTAAATACGAGTATCATTTTCAGGTAAAAATGATGATATTTTCATATTTCCTACCGAAAATTGCACAGAAAAAAGTTGGAGGAAGATATGCCCCTAGCCCCACTTATTTCCCACGCTTCTGATCAAAATTTCGAAAATTTCTCAGCTTTTCCAAATCGGCCATGGGAAGTAATATACATGTACAAACATTTTGTTCAAGTATATCGATTGTAGTTATCTCAACACAAAGAGTTTCGAAAATATTCACAAAAACATCATCTTGAGCTTTAACTCCCCAGGAAGCTATTTCTGTGCTCATGTTTTCATAAACTTTTTTTACTATTCTTGTTCCATTAATCTGTGGTTGAAATATTTCAATGTAATTTCGTGACACCCTGAGCCAGCAATCGTCACACAGCCTGAATCTTATGCTATGACGTCAACACCACTGATATATTTATCTATTATTTTTCCAGGATTAGGAATATTCAGAGATTTAATCTCGTGAAAATTATTTTTGGGTATCATCAAATAATAAAAGTATATTAATTCGTACGATTTATTATTTCTTCTAGTGGCTGTAATATATAATAAATATATGATGATATATGATTGATATTTAGGTATGGAATTTTATTTTCACACTAAATAGGTATATAATAGTTCAGCAAAGAGAAGACGATTTTATCATTATAATTTAGTTATACAGCAACTTTTGGCAGAGTAGATTTAATTTCAGTTATTTGACCTGCCATCATCAATCGACATGTGGAGTTCAATTTTTTCAAACTTCCTAGTGTGCTTGATAATCGTCAGTGTTGTCGCGAAACGTAAGTTGCCTTTAATAATATTTTCTACTCACATTACTCAAGAGGCATTTAGCGTACGGATATGTACCACGCTAAATGATCGATTAATCACGGATTGATGATCTGTGATCACATTATCATGGCAACAGAGTTATTTAAACACACACCTTCAGTCGTTTGAGTCCTGTCCTGTACGACCTGTCAATTGTAAAAACTGTCAACTGTCATTTTGGTACTATGTTTATGATCTTGTCGAAGAGAGAAATTATGAGTTCATAGAAAAAGTATGGTATGTAACGCGTTTATAAACTCGTCTAGACACTCGTTCTTTAAACACTGCTCGCTCCGCTCTGCTGCGCTCGTGCTTAAAATAGGTACTCGTTACCAAAAGGACGTTTATAACACATGTTACATAATATACTATTGAAACATAGATAATTGTTGAAATTTTGTTAAATCTCCAATGTCATCAGTCATATGAACTCTAGTCCCGCACAATTTCTTCAATAGTTTCCGGAAAACCGCAATTTGAATTGATATAAAATATTATATTATTATATACAGGGTGTCAACAAATAAGTGTCACAACGGAAAACTGTAGATTCCTCATAATAAAAGAAACATTTCTTTCCTCTTCGAAGTTTTTCTCCAAACTTCCCCTTTCAAGATACAGGTCATCAAAAAACAAAAATGTTCAGTTTAATGGGCTTATATCACAAACAAATTTTATTTCATAATTCGATAGAACTCACCCAAACTAGCTCACCACCGCAAACCGTTTCTTGCTGTGAGCTCCCTACGTTTTATGAAAAAATATTGAAATCCCCGATTTTTCGGCCCTCTGAAAACGAGGCGATGATGTGACGTCAAAACCCTAATACTGAAACAAGACTATTCCAGACAGATGAATGATACATGATTTCTGACAGAGTGAATTAGCGCGAGATCACAGTTGAAAGAATTAATATATCAGTTACCTCAGTCTCCGTCGGGCGTTTGGTATTTTCTTTTAAGTATGGCGAGATGAGGTTTCTACGTCATAAGAGGGTCCGTTTTCAGAAGGTACTATTATTTATGTCCAAAAATGAAACATTCCAGTTAATTTTTCTATCGAATTATGTCGTCAATCATTATTTATGTATAAAAGGATCTTTATAAACATGGTTTGAGTTAAAAGTTCTATTAAGGTGTGTACGCCCATTAAACACACATTACAACACTTAATAAACTTGACAGTTTGAAAACCATCATCGAGACCAGCATACTCAAGACCCTGACATTTGAACATATTCTTAGACAGTTGTGAGGTGTTTATTTCCAGTGAATTTTTAGTCGATTTTTGGAGAAACCATCAGAATTTTGTATGTTCTTATTCGTAAAGAGCCATTTTTCGCAGAAACTGTTCACTTCAGAGCATTGAGACAAGAGAACGTTTTTTGTGTGAAAGATATTGGCGCTTCAGAATCTACTTTGAAAATTACAATTCCTTCAGTGACATAAATGTTTGGCGGGTTACACCCTTACGAGGCGTTGAATTCTCCTCCACTGATATGTCCAAGGAAATTGATCAAGAGCCCTAAAAGTAGTCATTATTGATGATGAAGTGTGTACGAAGACTTAACTCCTTAGCTCAAACGGTTCCTGAGATAGTAGCAGAAACCAGATTTATTTTTTATTTTGACGCCCTGTATCTTGAAAACGGAAGCCCGGAGAAAAATTTCGAAAGGGTGTGTCTTACTTCTAATGGAAGCAACCCTGTATCTTATACGTAATTGTCGAGTTAGGGTTCTGAAATTTGCCCACATTTTGGGAAAATGATATTAGGAGGCAATAAGGATTTTGAAAAATTGAATTCTGTCTCACTTTTCATGAAAGCACCCCCGTATCTTACGTGATTATTGAGGTAGGATTCTGAAATTAGCAGTAATGAGAAAGAGATCAAAGATACAGCCAATGAACATCTGAAATTATCATCAGTGATCTACAGGACTCGCCAGCAGCCTAGCAGCCATGTGGGCGAGCAGTGTAGATCACTGATGATGATCTCAGTTGGTCGTTGACTGTATCTTTGGACTTTTCCATCCTCCTGCAAATTTCAGAATCCTACCTCGATAATTACGTAAGGTATGCTTCCATGAAAAGTGGTCAAAAAATTAATTTTTCAGAACTGAAATTTTTCAAGAAAAAAATGTAAAATGGACATCCTGAATTCGAATCCAGAGTGTTTTTCAACATATCTTGCCTCCTAGTATCATTTTCCGGAAATTTTGGTCGTTCCGACCTGTCCTGAGATACTGTTTCCATATTTGGAGTGCAGCACCCAAACATACCCTGAAACTGTTGGATTCTATCTAAAAAAAGGCGATTCGTCTCGTGGTTGATGCCTCGCTCACAATCTCATTCACTTCTTTGGAACACCGCAGAAAAGCTGGCAATCTGGCTCTATTTTGTAGATATTTTCATGGACGATGCTCTTCTGAAATATCAACAATTGTTCCTCCCTTGGCAGTCCCCGCGAAATTATTCCGTTGAATTGAGGCTTCGCATCCTTTCGTGGTCACTTTGGAGACCTGCAGAACATCTCTTTCCAGAGACTCGTTCATCCAACGAACAGCGAGGCTCTGGAACACATTGCCAAGGGAGGTGTTCCCCGAAGCATATAACCACCAGAAATTTAAGAAGAACACCTATTCCTACCTTATTTCCATTGGTTCTCTCGATGTTCTCTGAACATTACAGGACATCTCCTTTCGTGGGAACCAGAACATAAAAAGAACATCTCGTCACTCCTGCAAATTTCAGAATTCTAACTCAACAATTACGTAAGATACAGGTGTGGTTCCGTGAGAAGTGAGACACACTACTGTACCAGTTGATTATTTTGTTAGTTTCCCTCTGAGATAAACTATACACTCTGATGGTATACGGTAGGTTTAGTCTCTTTCCAGAGGGACTGAATGGCATGATATCACTTCGAAAATGTGGAAAATTTGATTTTGGGCTATGGTTCTTCATATACTCTATACTTACTATGAAAGTCTGTAGAAACCATGGACACAGACAGACCTAGCCTTTTCTTTCGCAAATCGAAAGTTTGCTAGATTTAAAAACTGAATTCAATACTGATTTCAATATCAACCGTAAATTCGACCTCCTCTTTGTTGTAAAATTAAATTGGGAATTTGAATGTGCCCAAAGATTCAATGATGATATCACGAATAACTATATAAGTTCTTAGAATCTTGGTTTTCTTTTTATCAAAGAAATTAATCCTACACAAATTTCCTGTAGAGTAACTTCAATTGCTAGAACTCATTTTGTCTTTATATCAGAAAATATATCAATGTGAATGGATATGATATACCTGAATTACATAGAAAAATTTCAACCACAGATTTTAGAAACAAAAATAGTGAAAAAAATTTATATAAACATGGGTCCAGAAAGTATAAGTAGAAGTTTATAGAAAATTAATCTAGGAAATATTATGAACTACCATCAGAGCAGCTCACTGAATCTGTTTAAATATTTGTATTGTCTTCAAAAAGTCACTTGAGACAAATTCAGGAAAAAAAACCGCCAGCGGTACGCAGTCTTTTTGAACCTTTCAAAGAAACCGCCAGGCGCGGCGGAATTCTTTTGAATAAATGAATTTATCCTGAATATTGTAATTGAAAGAAAACAGGTTTCAAGATTCGGATTTTTTTTCAGATCCTCGTAATTCACATCAGACATGCACTGAAACCCTTCCTTACCAACATCCCACAGACTGCACCAAATACCTAGTATGTACAGCATGGGGTCCACAAGAAATGCCATGTGCTCCAGGAACTGTCTTCGACCCTGAAATACATGTTTGTAACCATCCGCGAGAAGGTCTCTGTGATTCTTCCGAAAGGGAGAATTCCGAAGAGGCAGACTCGCGAGAAAATCATCCTGCTGATTCTCAGGAGCAAAGACCAGACAATTCCGAGGAAGGAAAACCAGCAGAGTCTGGAGAATCACAAGAAGCACAGAGGCCAGCAAGTCCAGAGGAAGAAAAACCGTCCGCTGATTCAGAGGAAAACAAACCAGCAGAATCTGAAGAACCGCAAGAGCCACAAAGACCAGTAAGTCCAGAGGAAGAAAGTCCATCCAAGGATTCAGAGGAAATCAGTCCAGCAGAGCCTGAAGAATCACAAGAAGCACAGAGACCAGAAAGCTCAGAGGACTCTGAGAAACAGAGACCTGACGATTCTGGAGAACACAAACCGGCAGAGTCTGAAGGATCGCAAGAAGCACAAAAACCAGCAAGCTCAGAAGAACCAAATGAACCAGAAAAACGAGAATCCGCTGAGGAACCAGACTCACCAAATGGACCACCAGAAGAATCTAACGATGTTCCTGAGAAACCAACTGTTAAACCAGAAGTTCCGACAGAATCTCCAGAAGAGCAAGCTGATGATTCAGAAGAAACAAGTGGAGATGATGAAGGTCAAGAAGTGACTGAAGAAGCAGAAGAAATAACAAGAAAACCTGAAGACGTATCAGTTCTTCCAGACAAAGTAACTGAAGATAGTGAAACAACAGAAACTGTAGATGTCTCTGAGCAACCAAGTGTTGTGCCAGAAGACGATACAGAAAAACCAACTGAAGAATCTAATGGGGAAACCGAAGCACAAGAAGAATCGACTGAACAAGCAAAAGAAGCTACAGAAGAACTCGGAGAACTCACTAAACCGCCAGAAGAAACTGAACAACTAACTGAAGTCCCAGAGTATCAAACTGAACTGCCAACTGGGGAACCAGAAGAATTCAGTGAGGCTCCTGAAGAAGTTACAGAACAGCAAGAAGAACAAACTGAAGAATCTGATCAATCTCTTACAGAAACGACTGAGGAATCAGTCGATTCAACTGGAGAACCTGAAGACCTAACATCAGAGGCTCCAGAGGAAAATACAAGTGTAGTAACAGAAGACGTACAGGCAGAGGTAAAACTATTGAATATTAAACGAGTGTTTATTTTGATAACCAATATTTTTATTCATGCATCAATTTCATAGCATCATCTTGGAAGTAAAGCATTCGACACTTTCAAGTTGTTTGCACTAAAATATTAGTATCAATCCTGTTCCAATAATGTTCCGAAAGTTACAGTGTGTTGAACCATTATTTTTAGGTCACACTGGAGCCACTACCCACTGATGGAGAAAGTCCTCCACATGAAGGAGGAAGACCAATCAACGTTTGTGCCAAAGATATAAAAAATATCTCACTCATTCCTAGCAGAGTTAGCTGTAATATGTTCATTGCCTGCATCAAAGGGTACCCGAAGGTTCTAATTTGTCCATTATCCAGAAGATATTTTGATCCAGAATTGCTGAGGTGCACCAATAACCGAGCAGTCTGTCGTTAAAAGATGATTCACGTCCATGTGAATACTCCACCAGATATTGGCACTAATGACTCGCAATATGTATTTATGAAATACAGTTAGTTGATAATTATTAGAATATTTGAATAAAAGACGGTCGAAAGAAATTTATCTCATCCTGATTTGTCCAATGTATATTTATATTGAAAACCATTGTTGTTGCAAAATCAAATTAGCTGATAGGGTCACGCAGCATTAACTCGTATTTCGATATAAAAATTGTCGTTTTATCTTGAAGGAACCACAGAACTTTTTTTTTATCCAAGATGTCGTAATTTACTAACATTGCTGGTATTGAATTGGATATGTTGAAACAGAGCTATCGATTTGGTGAGCAAGTCATTATCAGCAGTGTATGAATATTGAATATTCCATGTCGATAGATTCGTCGAATCTATACTAGATGTTATTTATTTAGAAGGGTAATGAAAATGGGATCATTATCAATGGAATGTGCACCCAATATTTATTTCTTCATATCTAGAGAGTTATTTTCAGCAATAAACATACTAAAATAACATTTGAAAAGTGCATCAAAATGGATTTTCACCATCAGATTAACAGTTTTAATCTTCTCCTGAAGCTGCTAGCATAGCGAAACAGTTGACTATCGCGATAATTTTGTTCGGCCCTTTTAACTTAATGGAATTAATAAGTGAATAATCATTCTGTCAAAAATGAAGCGCCTTATATCTATTGGCAAAAGTCAGTTTCATTTGAAACTAGGTTGACATGATTGTGATATCAGATGTTATCATTGAAAGCGAACTAAAGTTTTTGATGTTCCTGATATTTTAGTAATAAACCTTAGTTACTGAATTAAAAATTTTTTTGTATAGATATTGTGGGTCATATTCAACTTAACTCATCGGAAATATGTTTTTTGAGTTAACTTGAGAAACTTATTTGGGGCAGAAGGTCTGTTCGCATCAAACTTCAATACCGTTTTCATTTTGTTTCATAATAGATATCAGGATAAGAGGGACTCTGAATCAGATAAAAGAAAGATAAAAAAAATATGCTGTCATGGTGACTAGATTTTAATTAGAATTGAAAAGAAGTGCTTTATACTTTATAGGTCCACATTTCAGTTTCACAGAACTATTATGATTGAAATATATTGCTATAGTAGTGAAAATAGTAGCAATTCAAGGATTTTGTAGAGACCTGGCAACAGCGGCGTGCTTCCCAGTCGTGCAAGAAGACACTGACATCACAGCTCAGTAGCGTTTGAATTGTGCATTTTCAATATCAAATAATCCATTTTTTTGTTCGGTATTTTCTATAAATATATGATATGGATACCGTCTTTGACTTTCCTTCATAACATTATAGCGAAACGGGGAAAAGCTCATTAGATTCCAGTAAAATTTTCAGAATTTCATTTCCGAACACAGTTATTCGGTTATTTTTATTTATTCATATGTATACGTATATTTTAACATTATGATAACGTGATTTCAAATCTTCTAATTATTGTATTGTTTGAGCAACTCGAATAAGTCTTGCTGATCTCTTTGCCGGGGAGAACCATAGAGGAACTGAGAGACTGATGGGGGAAAGTTCATCATGGCAGGGTTGAGATTCGTCTGGGATCTCTTTCCATACCTGTCGAAAAACAAAAAAATAAAATTCGAACGTTGTTTGAGTTTGTTTTATTAAACATTGATATAAGTGCAAATATTCCAAACACTGAGAAAGCTTTACGTGTACTATCGAATGACACTTATATAGGAAAAATTGAGGTTAAACCCCTTTTTTCACCCCAAACAAATTTGACGCCACCTGTGCTCAAATTTCCATGCGGTAGGCATAATCACGCGGAGTTAAATCATTTTTTCTGTGACGGAAAAAAAATTTTGCCATTTCATCTCTGTTGGCAGGTTATGAAATGTCACTTTTCATAAATTACTTTTTTCCCATAGGGAAAAAGTGAGTACTTTTTTCCCGAATATATATCACATATATATACTCTGTTAATTGCTTTTGTTGTGCTATAGTTCCGAAAAATGAGTCAATAATACCGTCTCCGAGAAAGAACTGCAAGTCCTTTTATCTTCCATTCGACTTCGCGGTTTCGTATATTACTAAACAATTACAGAATTCGCAATTTTTCAAAATCAAATCACAGAATTGAACTGACAGAAGTGACATCAGATATTTGATTACTTTCAAAGAATGATAAAGATGCCTATAAAACGCAGGTGTCCCTACTGTTAAAAACTTAAATTTCACGTCAATAATTTTCAGATTTCGAAATAATGTAATATTATTATCTTCTCAATATTGATTCGTCCTTCCTTCTGTCACAGAAGAAAATAGTGTATTATACACGGGAAAATTATTAGATTTTAGCTCACGGTTTTTTGTCTCCCGACGCGTAGCGGAGCTAAAATCTACTACTTTTTTCCCTTGTATAATAAATAACTATTAAGTTTTAAAGTGGCGTACGTGATTTTTTTTCTTGTATTTTGTTCAATTTTTCGGGATGAAATTTCTCTTTAATTAGAAGAATTAGAAAAAATCTGATATCATGGAAATATTCCTTGGACTGTATCATATAAATGTGCTGAATTTTTGCACTCAATTCAAAAATTCTATAAACACATCTCAGTAATAGGTATTGATATCATTGCTATGTAGGTAAGTTAGTATCTAAATTGATATTTATTTGTATTATCGTTTCGTAGTTTATTACTTTTTTTGAAAATGTGACTGTATACGTTCTAGTCGAAATAAATACATACCTACCTATATTGAACACAGCGATATGATAATATAGCTTAACAAAAAATCCCAAAATATTGGACTCCTCCTAAGTCTTCAAAAACGAGAAATTTTATCTCGGAAGATACATAAAAAATAAATATTGTAATATATTCACATCGATAACAACCTGTATAGAAGATATAGATAAAGAGACGCTTGCTATCAAAGTTCTGTCTCTGTTTTGCTCAGAAAATTATTTCATGTTCAATTTAAAAATTTGATAATTGACATGAATATTCAAAATTTCACAAACATGCTATTTTATTTTTGTCGTTAAAATACTGATTCTCGATATACGGAATGAAGAAATAATCTGTTATATATACAGGATCTCACGGTCGATGGTAGGTACCTCATATTATTCGAACTGCAAGAAAATTCTTGGAACTATAGTTGTTTATTTTTGAATGTATATACAATTTGTTACTTAACTACTGCACCGAAATAAAAAAATTCCTTGATGTATGTTCTATTCTAGGAAGACATCTATAGAGGTTCCATTTGAAAACAAACTATTTTTGATCAAAATGTGATGTGACTGAAATGGTTCATTGATGAGTGACACAAAAAAAAACTTTTCAGAAAAAATCATGTTTCTCTAGTATGTGGGACTCATTGTGAATAGCCTTGACCACACCTGTTGAACTATAATATACAGGGTGTTCCATTTGAAAAAACAAAGTTGCTGGCATTTCCAGAAAAACTGGGAGTCTGTCATATTGGAATGTGATTTGATCAAATCCGAAATGGTTGCTTATAGAACCAAATTTGAGAAACATCCGTTCGCAAGTGCAGATGTTCCAAGGGTGGCCAGATACCCTGTGTCACCCGGTATACACAAGTGCACAAAAAACGGCCAGGATTGTAACTTTGGAATTATTATTGTAGATAGGGTTTTGAAAATTGGTGGGTAGCAAGTATACCAAATTGTTTTCTCCGATTGGCAGCAAATATTAATTTTGCTGACACATATCAATCAGCAAAGTATTACTTTTCCTGCCTAGGCAGCAAAGTGGTTACTTTGCTGATTGATATGTATCAGCAAAATTAATAATCCATAAATCGTTTATAATTTCCTCCATATTCCATCCGAGACTTCTCCGGCAACAAATTCAACTCTATATTTTGTGCCACCTCCCTTATTTCTGGAGGTTTAAGTACTTCCAGGTCGCTATCACTGTCCATTATATAATAGTTTGAATATACCGATATTTTTTCGCACAACTATAATTATTATGGACATTTCCATAGCAACCAACCATTCCAACAACTGCGATTTCTATCAAATTTTATTTTAATTGAACACTACAGGAAAAATAAAGAGATATATATCATTATGAACAATCGGAGAAAAAATTATATGTTCAACTCGGCAGTCGAATCTTTTTGAATTCAACGATACCGGGTTTGATAGGGTCATTTCAAACGATTACGAAGATATTTGCGTTCGAAGTTTCTATATGCTCAATGGGTCTGACTTCACAATATCAAAACTTCTTTCTCTGTCAAACTCATTGAGCATATGGAAACTTAGAACGCGAACATCTGCGTAACCGTTTGAATTAACCCTATCAAACCCGGTATCGGTGAATTGGTTATGACAATCCCTAACCAATTATGGAATACAATACAGGGTGTCCCATTTGAAAATCAGAAGTTGGGGTCGTTTCCAGTAAAACCGGAAATAATGGAACAAACACTGTTTCGTGAATTGATAAGCAATTTAGTGTACTAGCTGTCCACCAATTTTCAAAACCTCATTCTGGATAATTCAAAAGTTACAGTCCTGGCCGTTCTTTGTGCACTTCCCTGTATATGGACAATATTAACGGAAAACCTCTGTATTTGAATATTTGTACTTATTCATGTATGGATATGTATATAAATCGAATATGAATATGAATATTACCTGCTAAGATCAGATTTCACACAGTCAATATATTGCCGCATAACTTGCATATTTTGGAACTGTACAGGCTTCTCACAGTTGCTTTGCTTGTTTTCTTCAGCAACTACCATACTTATGACTAATAAGATTATCACAATCAGATGCGGAATTCCATTGAGCAGTCCCATCTTTCCTGTGAAAATATAAGTCTGATTGAAGAAGGAAACACTAAGTCGTTTCACAATATTTATTTTCTGATCACCGATCTGCAATATGTAAGCACATCAGCATCGGCCAATTGGATATTGAGAAAAATCATTGAGCATTTCCAGATTATTCACTCCAAAATGTCACCGGATTATTCGTCCTCACTACATACAGTGTGTTACAATTTCATTCGGTCCACTCCACCCCTGTACTTTCGTATTCCTAGGCAGTAAAAA